CCGGACAGCATCAGTTGCTGCTGGCAAGGGTCACCCACCAGAACGTGAGAATCAGCCGTGGCCTGCTGCTGGTCGGGAATGGCGGCAGGGCTTGTATTCCAACTTTTTACCTTCTGCGTCAGACGAAATCTGTTCTCAACAGCAGACTTCCAGGGTGTCATCATTTGAGGGCTGAAGATCCTGTGAAGTATGCTGTCCCTAACGAAGCGTGAAGAGCCAAAGGGCGCTGTGTATATTCCCTAAAGAGTACATGATGCCTTTGCGTAGCTAGAAGCAGGGAAAACTCCTTTGCTGGCTTGGAAAGCACGGTTGTTGTGCTCTTCCCTGCTCCTGTTGAGGGTGGCAGAGAAACACAAAAGACGCTTCTCGGGGAAAAAATTTGACACCGGCCTACAAGCAAATAAGCAACCTGTGTATAGGAGTTTGATTTCTTGTGTGTTCCCTCGCTGAAGTAACTGGGGTGCCGGGCAGTAAGGGCGGATTTGGGCTTTGGTTTCTGCTGGTGGTAGTTTGGCCAAGCTGAATTCGTTGTCCCGCTGTACTCGTGCAGGTGTGGCCCTGCTCCCTTACGTACCGGCTTTTCGCTTGGCCTCAACCATCTAGGCCACAACAGCCCAATTTCCTGAGCTGTGCAACTTGGGGTTATCAAGTCTGGCAAAGTTTTCTGTTCCTTCTTCAATCTGCCAGAGAAGCTTACGTTAGTTTCTGTTGATGACACCAAGTTGCACTGCAAAACATGTAACGGGTCAGTCACATGCTCTACGCTTCAGAGTTCAAGCTTGGTATAGTCCCTGTTAATTTTTAAGAGATTAATGCGTCCTTGTTTCAACCTTTGTATAGGTCTGTATGCTTTGCTCAGTAGGATATCATCTTTTCTGTTGTCACCGCTCAGAGAAGACCAGCCGACGATGGATGGCATTGGATTATGCGGGAATTTCCATTGGTATCCTGGGCTGCTACGTGTCCGGCGTGTTTTATGCATTTTATTGTAATAACGTAAGTTTGAAGCACTTGTTCACGTCAGGTTTAGTTCCTGCGGTCTCATTGTAGTTTGCACGCCGTAGGAAGGGGCCTCGTTGCAGGGTGTCCACATAGAACATTAGCCAGGAGACAGAGATGGAAAGTGAAACGAGTTCCTTCTGACACCAGCAGAACTTTGCTTACTGAAGCTGTAGGCAAATTGAGGTTTTCTTTTCAAGCGGTCAATCACACAAGCCTCAAGGAACTATTGAAATTTATATGAAGGCAGGGTAAGCTTTACAGGTCCTGCCTTTGCCAAATGAGGGAGGCTGATTGTGGGATGTGTCCCCATCACACACAATTCAAACATCATTTCCCACTAGGTAGCTTACGTGAGGCAGAAACAAACTTATTTTCTCTTCATCTAGGAGAGGACAAGTAGAAGTAGTTCCCTTCGAGGCCTAGATTACATCCCTGTCTGCAGCGGATCCAGCGGCCGGGTAGTTGAGCAAGCGTGCTTAGGCAGAGGTATATTTAAAATGTTTTGGTGAAGGCGCTGCTTGGGATAAATGATGTTCTACCAGGTGTACCCGAGCAGTAGAGTCCCTTCCCCTCACTGTCAGCTGATAAATACGAGTCCGCTCGCTCACTCAAACCCCATCATTTGCGCTCGCAGCAGTAACAGGAGAATTGATACATCATTACAGTTAGGAATGTAAGCTTTCTACCCAGAGTTTACTTTTCCACATGATGAGAACACCCACAAACTTGCTTTTGTTTCTTTTTTTCTCAGTACTGGCGTCAGGTATATTTAATCACTGTGCTGGCAATGATCTTGGCAGTATTTTTTGCTCAGATTCATCCCAGTTACCTCACACAACAGTGGCATAGACTGCGCTCCATCATCTTTTGCTCAGTGTCTGGATACGGAATTATTCCCACCATCCACTGGGTTTGGCTCAACGGCGGCATCGGTGCATCTATTGTACAGGTAAAAGAAAAAAAGAAGGAACTAAGATTCCCTTTTGCTTTTTGCTTGCCTTCTTCCTTCAGACCTCTTACACTTCGGGACATGAGGGGGAAGCAACGGTAATTAAAATTTCTTGAAGCACAGAATTCTTGCAGACGATACGATCCAAATGCAAACACTTAGAAATTTATTGAGAAGCAGTAAAGAGGTTGAGTAGATTAAATCTGCTCTACTGATTTAAAACTGCACCATGAGAAGGAAAACTGGACACAAATGTGACTGAGCGTGTCTGCCTGAGGGACAGAGCAGCCTGTGTAGGTGGACCGCACCCTCGTTCACCCCAGGGCGAGGGATAGGAGCGAAGAGCTGAGTTGGCTGCGGCGTGGGAAGCAGTCTGTCAGGCTGCACCAGTGCTCTGGGCTGTCCGCCTCCACAGCCCGGGAGGAGAGAGGGGAAACAGAAGACGCTGATGGGATGATTATTTGCTTCCTCTTCTGTTCCCTGGGTTGGCAACAAAAATCAGTGTTTGCCTGCTCAGCCCTCTGTCTCTTACGCAATCCTCATTTAACATCGCTGTGAAGTTACTGAACTGTTTTCCTGTTCTTGTTTTACCGCTTAGAATTATGCTCTGAAAAACAAGCAGCACACTACAGCTAAAGACAGTAAAGTATGCCCCAAAATGAAAACCCCAGAAATCATTGCAGTTACCCAGGGACCTAACTGTGCTGAAGAAAACTTTTCCTTTTACATAGTAAGCAGTAACCGTGCACGTTCTTAGACTGGCCCTGCTGGAGGACTGTCACCTGGGGTGATGGTTTAGCCCAGTCCAGAGCTGCTGTTGAATGTGGAAGAGCAACCTTTATCAATATTTGTAGTCTTTAGACAGGGCACTTAACACTGACCTTCTAAAAATCAGATAAACAGTAGTTGTCCCCCCACGTCTTCCCCCGTTTATTTTCTCCTGGTATAGCATAATGCTAGGTATGGTACGTCAGAAAAATGCTCCACTTCTGATAACAAAACTTTCTGTTAAGGAAAACAAAAAGCAACTTGTGAATGAGTTGCTTGATTATTTACCATCCAGTATGTAGTACTCCTGTGGCTTTGGGTTCTGGTGACTGCAATCCCAACCGGTAAGTGAGATTTTGCACTGAAGTCATCGTTCTCGCTTATCCTGGCCACTCTGCGTAAGATCAGCATATTGGAAGACGTCCTTTTACTGACAAATGTCATGTCTGCTGCAGGCTACGGAGAAACACTTAAGTAGCTTGTGTATTGAAGCAGAGAGGTCGTGATAGAACACGTTTCTTCCCATTCAGATTTTCCCAAACTTTGGCGTTTACTTCCCTGTTGTATTTTGTCCATAGATAACATAGGCAGGGAGATAAGATTCAGTTTTGTCACGCCTTTTTCATCTTTAGGGACTTTTTTTTTTTTTCTACTTTTACCTTCTAACAGAATAGGAGAGCTTCCTTTTCTTTTGCAGGAGTTTGCTCCACGTGTAGTTGTCATGTACTTCATCGCTGCTGTAGCTTTTCTCTTCTATATTTCCAAAGTTCCAGAAAGATACTTCCCAGGTAGGAAATTCTCTTCCGGGTGTTTTTTCTGCAGTTAAGCTTCCTGCAGCGTCACAGTCCTTGCTGTGAGTCCTGAACGTCCTGTGAGAGAACAGACTGACCATATTCTACATGAAGTATTCTCATATGGAGTAAAACGTTGCATGCATTTCCATCAAAAGAAGGCAGACAATTTCTGATGAAGTTCGTTAAAGAACTCGCACCGTCAACCAGCAAGCGGCGTGTATAGTTGAGCTTTGGAGGAGACTGATTGCTAATTGCATTGCATGAGTTATTGCTGAATTTAACAACTGAACTCGCTTGCCCTTTTTCTTCCGCACAGGACAGTTGAACTACCTCGGCTCCAGTCACCAAGTATGGCACATCCTTGCAGTGGTGATGCTGTACTGGTGGCATCAATCCACAGTGTACATCATGCAATATCGGCACAGCAAGCCCTGTCCTGAGTATAGCGCAGACTTGTGAGTGAAGGTATAGCCGTTTTCATACTCGTGGGAATAGGATATTCTAACAAGTATAGGGTGAAATAAACCTGTTTTTAACTTACGATAAGTTTCAGTCAACCTCCCTAATTAGCTTCCCCAAATAAAATGCTGATCGGTGTAATACTTGCTTGTAAATAAAAAAGTAGTGATCTTGATGCCAGGCGCTCTGCTCATCTGTACCGCTGGACTGCATGAGGCTCCACGAGACCGCAGTCCCCTTGAGCAGAGTTTTAGAACAGGCTGGACAGAGGTCTGCCAGATCCCTTTCAGCTCTGTTTCACAATTTTAATAGCCTCAAGCAGTCATTGGTATTTGTTCCTAAGCAGCCTTTTCCTCAGGCTTTTGTCAGGTTTTCAGCCTACTAAGCATTGGTCTGGATTTTCTGGAGATCAGGTAAGAGTCGATAACTTCATGTGCATAGTAAGTGACTAAACTTGTTTCCCCCCTGTATTTCAGAGGCACTGCGATGAAATGTCTGACTTTGAGTGTCTGGACCTTACCTAATGAGCTGAGCTATGAAATTAGGCACTGAGGCAGTTCCTTTTCTGACTTCTGGACGGTCACCCGCTTGCTGGGACACTGTTAGTAGGCGTTTTGAAAAAACCAACAGCGTTGCCCCGGATCTGACATTCATTTCCTGTTCTGCAATCAAAACAGGTCTTCCTGCACTGGGACAAGGGAAAGGTGGGCTGTGACACTCAGCATTCAGATCACAGCACTGTTTTTTCTGCTTGGTAAACACGAACAACAGAAGTAATAACCCTTGCTAAGCTAACAGGCCCATATACAAGGTTTATCGGGTTTTGTTCAAGTGCATAATTAAGAAACGGCTCCTGACAGCGTGCTTGTAAAACCATGCTAACCGTGGGACCCGGTCTTGGATCTAAATCACAGCGGTACGGTGTGTTGCATCCTTCAGAGTCTTTGCCTGAATGACGTGCTTACACTTCAGCATCGGTTCGGTAACGTATAAAATTGAATTCAGTGGACTCTTGTATTTCTCTGGACAAGCTCTTTGTTTTTCTGGAAGATCCGCCATGGCTATACCTGCATTTCGGGTCTTAAAAATTGCCTCCCTCAATATGGGTAGAGCCATTACTTCAAGAAATTTCTCTTGATCCCCTGGGTAATTTGGAATTAGTATTCTAAAATATTTCAGGAGTAGCAGTAAGCCTGTGTGTTCATGTTTGTTACTATCTTGCAATTAGTAGAGTTGCTAAGAATTTTTTTAAGTTAATTAGTTTAACACGATGAAATAACACACCACGAGGACTGAACCTGCTGTGGCTTCAAATCACTGAACTTTGGCCTTTTAATGTCTGATGTATTATACTGTACTTGCCGACTTTGTTACTGAAAATGACTTATCACCGTAAGTGAAAAGGTTGCCTTGGGTTTTAGAATCAGTCGTGAAACCATCTCTTGCAAACTCAACACTGGGGAGATATGAAATAGACAGGTTAGGAGGTAGCTGTAGCTCAGCAAGATTAAGGTCAGTGGATGCCAGTTTTTCAAACAGGACTGGAATTATTTGGATTTTGGGGTTAGAGTCAACTTTTTTCAGTGGTTTCTGTATAGCAGCTGTGCTTGTGTTTACAGTTCAGTTGAGCAGTGGTAGCAAATGCTGCTGTTTCGCACAATCAAGTGTTAGCCAGCATTAGCCATTTGGAAATTACTCTGCTTGCTTTGAGATGTTGTTACGACTTCATCCCACGTGGTTAAAGTTTGGAACTGGACCTGTTGAAGGACATGATTGCATTGGCATGGCTAGCATTAGCAAGCGGGAGATACCCTAACTGTTTCTGCTTTGACGATAGGTAGAAATCTTCTGTTCTGGGATTATCAACTGTCGTAGCTGACCTCTCTACAACTGCCCTCGTTACCTGCAGCGTGGCCTTCAAAAGGGTCCCAGCATCTTCTCTCGTGTTCTGTGATGGTCTGACAACAGCCAGCTTACTACAGGCTGATAGGGGTCTTGCCGGATTTCAAACCAGCTGTCTTACACCTGAGGCTAAGGAAGAGACCGCACTGCCTAGCGGTGGGCGAGGAAAGCCTTAGGCAACCGTGCTAAAAGCTGCGTAACACACAAGCAGCCCTTACTGAACGGTCAGTCTCATCAATGCTATGCTATTGCCTCTTTCCTCATGGGAGGGCTTTCCCTTGATCGGATTTAGCTTACTCCGATGGGGGGAGAGGCTGGCTTTTTGCAGTACCCTCCTCACGGGTGGCAGGCTGCTGTCAGGTCCCCCCAGCGCTGCCTCCTCCCGGGGCTAAACAAGCCCAGCTCCCTCAGCCTTTCTCGTCAGGGGCGTGCCAAGGAGATGCAGAATAGCCATGGAAAGAAACTGTCAGGCATATGAATGCTCATCGGGGATGGAGAAGGCAGGATACTAACTAGAGGTATGCTGGAGAGTAATGCTAACTGTTAAGTTCAGTGGGTGGTTTTGGGGTTTTTTTTTTCAACTCCAGAAACAAGTAAAGAGGAAGGAGTGACTTGGCATTTAAGATTCAACTCCCAGACCTTTGAGCCTTTCAGTGTAAACACTGATTTTTTTACTTTTTTTTTTTTAAACTTGACAGCCAAGCAAGTTTCAAGTGCACTAATTACTACTACTGAAGCCTGACAAGGAACCTGCAAGTATAAAAGCTTGTGTCCAGTATTATGTGAACAATAGTATTTGAAGAATCTGTGTTTGTGTATTGAAAGCATACTGAGTTTATAGTTTGCTAATGTATTTTTTATGTAAACTCTAACTACAGTAGCAGTTTTCACTGGATAAGGAAACTGACTGCAAAGCTGTTCATTTTTATTACCCTGACAAAAATTTATCAAGCTGCATGATGGTCTTTTATGTACATACCGAACCTTTAAATAAAATTCAGTTCATTGGATGTTTACTTGGAGTAACACCATTCTTGCTTCTCACATAGTGAAATGACGGATGTGAATTGCTCAACCACACAACTTCTGTTACCTCCCCTGGGTTTTAAATATACAGGGAGACTGTCTCATTAATTATCAAGGCACAGCATACATGGGCAGGGCAGGGGTTCAGCCTGCACTATTCCAGTATCGCACGTAGTATATTCTACGAGCAGTACGTAGTGTTCTACGTGCATTTTTGGAGGAGCATCTCTAGGTGAATCTGCTGATGAACTCAGCTTTGCAGCCTACCACCGTTAGATCTGGATAGTTTCCAAGCAGGGCCTTGTTTGTGGAGCTCCGGCCATTTGGAACAACAGTCCTCTTTCCCACCTCGACTTTGTAAACATGCTTTTGCCCTAACAGAAGTAGTTCAACTGCATGCAAACAGCAGTGATAAGAAATCAAGTGCTAGTAGTTACACTGCAAAAACAAAACCAAAAACCCTAGCCAGAACTTTTTTTAACTGTTTTTGTAACGTAGGGGCTGAAAACTCACCAACCCTCTATCGGAGATGGACCAGGCAGAAAAGCTCTGACCATCGCGTACCCTGCTTACGCATACAGCCTGCAGCAGGCAGCTGCGCCAGCCAGCAAGGATGACTTTGCGCTCTCCATTACCAGCACCGGTTCTCATCCTCTCCTGCAGCACACAGCCAGCGCTCGCAGAACATTTATTACCAGTAACCCTCAGAACTGCCCCAAGTCCTCTGCCTCTCGCCTTCTGCCAAGCCTTTAAACCACAGGCAGTGCGCAGATTGAAAAGACCTCATTATCCATTAAAAACTGACTGTTTACATCAAGGATTTAACAGCCACCGTTGTTCGTTTTCGTTTAAGCTGAGGCCTGCAGTTGAACTGTATTTGCTCGTGGATTTTCTTGTAACAAATTAGACTGAAACAGGCAATAGACAGAAGAACCAAGAGCCAGGACATGAGCTACGATTTAGTAACCGAGTGCCGCTCCATCTTTTCTTGACCATTTTCATGCTTACTTCAGCTTATCTAAGAGTAACATCAGTACAAGCAGCATCCAAAAAAACTGCTCTGGTAAACCACTGGTAGAAGGGGGTCAAATCACATTAAAATTATCTCTAGAAGATTAGGTGCAGAACTAAGTCCCCGCAGATAGCATTGTGAACTGTACTTAGCATTTTGGCTACTGAAAAGGGATCAAGCTTTGGTTACCGCCTAGGAGTCGGAATGCATCCTTTCAGAACCGTTCTGCAGGAAGCGTTTAGAGAGTAATGATGAACCTAAGGAGTTAAAAATAGTACATGATCAACAGGTTTTTAAGAAGTCGGACAAAGACAGACGATTGGGCAGCGAATACAAGTAGTTTCAACATCTTCAAAATAGTGACAGGAGCCTACAGCCACAAAAAGCCAATCAGCAGAAGCAGCGTTGCTTATAGTGAGTAAACTAAAGCCTAAATGTGAATACTTAATAATGCAATGTTTAAGGAGATTCGCAAAGTCACTGTTATCACATTTGTTTATTTAACAACTGCAAGTATTTTATGACATACATCAGTTCACAAAAAAGTTAAAGTTCTCTGTTTAGTGGTACACAAAAAAGCTTTAGAAACTTGAAGTCTAACAAGAAATGGAAGTGTAGTTCAGGAAAGTGCACTTAAAAGCTGAATGCCAGCAATTTTAAAATAGTTTTTATGCTCTTTAATATTAGGTGATGCCTTAGTCACAAATTTAGCTATACACACGATTTCCTTGATTTTCCTTTCGAAATAAGCACTACAGAAAAGTAACGCAGCAGCCACTCTTTGCACTTTTTTTTTTCTTTTCCAGCTTTCACTCATATTCACTCCCTCAAGTCACGTGAAAGTGATTGTGGCTGCTGTGTTACTCAAAACACAGCAACTCCAAGGGAGACATGATGTGTGCGAGCATGTGTATATTTTATATATACTTTTCATATATAAAAATACACGATATAGTATAAAAAACTCCAGATAAACTCTTTTTCTCACAGTAGCAAATATATCAACTTATTTTCACAGTACTTGGTTTTACGAACTGGGACACCCAGAATGATTAAAAGTTACTTCCTCCAAAGCTGGTATTCACGGGTCCCACATTACGCAGGTCAGCCAAAGCCATCGCGCACATCTCAAGGCTGTTTGAGAATCTGCAGAGAAACACAACTATCTTGCTTTTCTTTCCATGACCGCAACCATTAAGGGCTTCTTAGTACCTTTTGACAGAATCTCTCTCTCAAGCAGCTGCTTCTAAAAGGCCTGTGGTTCAGCCATTCAACACGCTGAAAGAAAAGCTGTAAAAATCAATCGGTATTGTCTGCTGGAAGGGAAGCGTCAGTTCCTTACCATGCCATTATTTTCTTCACAGACAGCCTGGTACACGTCTAGCGCAGCAACGTCTTTCCCGTATTTCAGGTAAGGTCATGATACACTCCATGGCAAGCACACACATGAGCACGCACACACACCAAATAAAGGCAAAAGGATAATCACGTTCCTCGACAGTACCACATTTTGTCTCTTGAATAGTGGATCTTAGCTGAAATTAAACCCAAACTTGGGTTTAGTTGTGTATAACCAATACATGCCACGCAAAGTCAACTTAGCAAGACATACTAATCTCTCTTCAGTCACAAGATGAAATAATTTTAACTCTAGAAACAAAAAAGTTACTTTTATGCAAAAACCTGTTTTGTAACTAGAACACAAAGAACAAGGTTTATTAAGGCCATCAGAAAGCAAATATCATCTGCCATAACTCATATGCAGCCAGAGACATTGTGCTAGTTTTAGAGTAACTTGGGTGCACAAGTTGCTTTTATCTCGTCTCTTAGTTTCTGTGTACAGTCTCACTTCGGCTTTCCTGTACTGTAATATAACCACTTACGGACCCTCTGCCAAAAACCAAACCAACCCACCACACAAGGAAAACCCGTAGCGCTCCCTCAGCCTTAAGTCTCAGGGTTAACAGAGAAAAGCCAAACACGCTTCCTTCTATTCTTAATTTACCCGAATATTTAGGCCCACACTAAGTCTGCCGATGCACGGCCTTTTCCCTGTGTGTCCAACAGCAAACCGCCTCTCCTTTCAGGCAGTGGAGCTAAGCTCCAGTCCCATGCGCCTTGTTAACCCTTTTTTCTGGCACCAGACGGCCGAGCAAGCCCTGAAGTTGCTTTTCCACCAGGGAAAGCAGCAGCTGCGTGGCTTTGGCGAGGACTAGCTGCGTTTAAGAGCGCGGGTCAGTTGCCTGTTGTTTTACTCTCGTTTTGTTTCCACCCACCTGCCCCATTTGTCCTAGCATTCTGTGCCAACAGCTCTTTAGGCAGGTAAATTAGCAGTTCAGAAACAAACTGTAGGAAGGCAGATCATAAGCACATGCAGAGGGAAAAGAAAGTTAACCTGAGTATCAGAAAATGCTACACAACTTGGCGTGCGCTTCTTACAGCCTTTGGCACAAAAAACCCAGGTGAGAACAGTAGTAATAAAGCCTAAGAAACTGCTGTGCAAATAGAGTTGAAACATTTCTACTCATAACCTCCTAAGAGCTTAATTTCTAAGCCTGAAAAAGGCATACTTAACCAAGCACAGCTGTAATATTTCACTTTCACCCTGTGACAAAAATGAAAACGAGGAAGATAAAGGTAATGAAGGTATACAGATACGTATAAGCTACTTTCAAATTCCAGGACTAAAGGAAGCCATCTCACATATATCCAAGGGAGCATTTTATCAAACCACCCCCCGAAGGAGTCAAGTGACTTGTATTTAACAAGTTGTTTTCAACAAATATTGTAAGGGATCCACCCCCCACCCTCACAGATCTCAGGACGGCTGTATAACCTGCAAGAACCTTTGAACAAAAATGCACAAGCCTCAATATTTCACTTTACCTCCCGTGAAAGGGGGGACACACACAACCATGAATGCTTATGTCCTCCACGTATAAACATCTGATTATCTACTCATCCGCATTCAGTAGAGCAGGATATAGAGTCGAGACAAGCAGAGGAACTACCTCCTTCCACCTCCTCTTTAGGACTGCCACAGAAAAAAGGCAGGTAAATTGGACCGTCCCGAGTCGTACTCGCTCTGCAGACGGCGTACGTGGCTTGGCACAAGTTGCAAGGCAGCAGGGAAGCCATCCCGCCTACACACAGCTCGTACTTCTACAACACGGTAACGAAATCTTTGTCCTCGATGAATCTGGTCACATCACCTTCCCATCACCTACTGGCACCACTCGCTCCCAAGCTTTTAGCCACGTCTCGTGCACCTAATGTCTCAGAGGTACTGCGCAGCAGGACAGGAGTCCTGCCTGTAAGGCTTCGTGGTGTGAAGTGCAGTTTACCGGTACGGTAGCGATCAGCTTCTGCAAGCTACCTGCTGCTTACTGCTTCCGTTCTGAAACAAATCCAGGTTCAGAGAAGTTTCTTCAAAGCTCAGTGCATTTAGGAAAACTTTCTTATAAAATACACTTAAGTACAATAATATATTCATGACAACTTAAAAGAACATTAGGTTACACTCATTTCATAAAATTATTATTGTTTTCAAAAACAACAGGTTTGAAAGAATACACATTTTCTTTGCAATAAAAATCCAAGAGGAAAAGAAAAGGTATTTTCAGACACAAATCCCAATTTGTAATCAAATAAATCTGATGGTTGCATCTCACAGTCAACTGTTCAAGTCATCTGAAATACTCCGTACGTGCCAGACGATTTCCTCATGTAAACCAGCCTCTCTTCCCAGCGTACTGAGTAGTCTTCAAAGTGCTGCAAACACTGGCTGCATCCCTGCTGGTTTACTCCATACATTCAGGCTTTTTGTCTCGCAAACCATTATATTCTCTGTATCTTTAGTTTTAACTCTGAACTTCCAGTTTGCTATTTTACATTAATGGCACTTACTGTTACAAAAAAAAAATTGAACCTTTAGGCACACACAAAAAAAAAAATCTGCCTTTCCCCTCTGCAGCTGCATAGATGTCTACCAGGTCCCAAGCCATAGCCGTGCTCTGGAATTCTGGGCCACAGCCCCTCGAGGGCTCAGCTTCTTTATTTTTATGATTAATAAAGGTAGTTTTCACCTAGGAAGCAAAGACTCAACTATTTCCAGCAGATCAATCTGGATATTAGTACATTTTGGTTCTTAGGTCTACTGCAACTGAGATGCCAAGAACCACCACGGTTCCATTAGCCTACCTGTACGTATGGAAAACATTTTTCATGTGATCTCTCTGCCCATCCCCCTCCTCCATTTCAGCACATCACAGAGGACTGAAAAGGCAACGCAAAAGTGCAAAATGACAATACGTTTCAGGGCCCAAAGTCAGTGACAGACAACGAGTCATCTCCGATTTCTCTTTTCATTCTGGGAGCCATCTGTCGTAACAAAATGATGCTCCTGGTTTATTTTTTCTTTTTTTCTCAAAAAAAAACTCAATAGAAAATTACCATCATTCTAAATTTCATCATGCAAGTTGGCCATGCCTTCTTGAACTTGAACAAACTGTACAACCCACGTCCCTGTCAATTCAACCAGATAAATTACTCCACCAGCTAAACCCTCTATTAAGTAACTCAGAGAGGTGGAGGGGGAGAACCCATTGGAAGCATTTACTGTTTGGAAGGAAACGGAGCTGCTCCAAAGGGATCTAACTCTAGCGCCTGTTGCTGCTGGCTCTGCGCGCTCTGCACAACCAGTTCTGTGAAGGGGACTGCACCAAAGTCATCTGTTTTCAGCCCCTCACTGCCATGAATGGCTCCATGCAAAGAGCTCTGCCGAGGTCTACCAGCCACTACTACTGTACCGTGATCCCCACGGTTGTCACCAAGCCCTTGATGCTGGGGATGCCGCATCAAGTCCGGTGGGTGGAAGGGTTTGGCTCCAAAAGGATCCAGCAGGCTCTCGTCTGTCTGCAGGGGGTTGGTTCGATCTTTGCTGTCAGTCAACGCAACACTTATGTTCTCTTTGGAGTCCGAGATAGTCAGGAACTCGTTGCTGCTCTGCGAGTCCCTGCGGCCTGCTTTCTTGTGTCTGCGGGCTCTCTCAGGGGTGCGGTAGCTCGGTTTCAATGCTTTCTTCGTGGTGGTTGGGGTGCCGTGGTGGCGCTTTCCATTGTTCTTCGAGACCTCCTGTTTCATGCGCCTTTGGCGGGAAGAAAGTTTCTGCAGGTTACGCTGCTGCTTCATCTTCTGCTGCTGCTGACTCCCTGTGATCTCTTCAAAAGGAACCAGCCCAAACAGGTCCTCTTTACTCCCACCGGTCCTGGGGAGAAGGGAAGGCTGAAACGGGGTGCAGCCAAAAACATCGACACTCCGTGGAGAGGCAGGGGAGAGCAAAGGCTCAGTTCCCACCACCTGGCCATCTTGCTGAGACACCTTTTTGCTGAAGGGGGCTTTTGTGAAAACATCAAAGTCATCCTGCTCTTGGTTCAGGGTGGGAAAAGCCATCTGAGAAGAGACATCTTTGTCCATCTTCTCTCTTGCCTGAGGCTGCAGAGTAAAAAAGGGCACTGCCCCAAACACATCAAATTCTTGGCCAGGGTTGACCTTGATTACAGTACTTGGCACCTCAGGCAACGACGTATGCATTGAACTAGGTTCTTTGATTTCACCGCTGCCCACGCCATCTCTGAACCTACCGCTTAGGAGCCCTTCCGCAGATTTTTGCTTGGTACGATCAGAATCGGAGTCAGAACTTTGCTTCTCTTCCTCCTCTTCCTCCACCTCTTCCTCAGAGTCCATGAGGAGAGGTCGATGGCCTAAATTCTCTGGTTCTGTATCATTGTCATCATTGAAGTCTCCATTCTCTCCTTGCAAGACTTCTTCATCCTCCTGTTCCTCTTCTTCCTCACTGCTCTTGGGTGAAGGAGGATCAGATTCAAAATCACTCTCTGACTCATCACCACCTTTTGTCACTTGTCCCTCTGCAGTTTTCCTCCCTGGCCGGGGATCTCTAAAAGCGTGGCTCAGTTTTCCAGCCTTGGTTGGGGTCCCCAAGTTATTTCCTTGACTGCCGGCTGAGTTATCTGCTTGTTTTCCAGGAGAACCTGCAGGTCCGAAGAAAAATGGAAAACAAAACTTGAAATACACTCTTAGAGTCACCACTTATTCCGCACACGCCATAGCCACACATACCAAGAGTTGATACAAACATATATTCTGTACTTAGTAAGGGAAATGAGGTAAAATCAGATTTAGTATTTCAAATAACACTCAAAATTGATCACTAGTCAGACCTTCTAGATTTACTCCTCAGGCACAAGATGTCTAGAAATACAATACTATATTTTTTAGGCATGGAGGAGGGACCAATGGACACAGGTGAACTCTGAAGCCAGCTTTGTAAACACACTCATTATGCAGCCGCTCCTCTCCAGGGAAACAGGAGCCAGTGTGCTTTAAAGATTTCAAGTTGGTTTTTTTGGTGTTTTTTAAAAGCAGACTACCTATTTCTTGAAGTGGTTGTCCTTTGAAGGTCTGCTCTGACAAATTTATCACTCTAGTCATAACAACAGTCAGCACAGGCAAAAGAAAAGTATTTAGCAATTTCAGATAATTCGCTTCAGATCTTGGGTACCGTTTTACAGCAACCACAGACCTCAGAGGGCTCTGCTCCGCTGGCCTACCAACAAGTCTGCTGTGCAGTTTCTGTACACCAGAAAGCAAATGCAGCTTGTTGACACACACATCCCTTAAGGCTGCCTTTTGAAGAGGTTCTCCAAGACCGACCCACTGTACTAAGATTTTTACCATGCCGTCAGATACGTGTAGCAATACTGACATATTCAACATAGCTTCAAAAAGGAAACAAATGCGTGACACGCTGTTAGTGCCCAGTCTTTCCACTCCCAAGCTTTTATAGCACAAGACAATCCTACACAACATCTCCAGGATAATTCGGTTCCTCTAAGGTCTATGGAAATTAGGGACTGGGCGAGAGACAAGTTGTTTGTTCATGTCCAAGCTGCAGGGAAGACTACATGATGTCACGATCTCTCTGTCCTGCCCTCGAGGGCACCTACTCCTTACAGGAGCTGAACAAGTGGGACTTGGAGCCTGCTAACAGCCACAACAGAGATATGGGGACTGGGTGTTTTTCCCTCACTAGTGTGTTTTGAGGCATACAAAGGGCAACAGACAAGACAACAATCCCTACGGGGAGATCACAAGGTAATCGGGTAACACAATGTCACCGTTTAACCCCAGCTGGCAACTAAGCCCCACGCAGCCGCTCGCTCGCTCCTCCCCTGCCCCGCTGGGATGGGGGAGAGAATCGGAAGGGCAAAAGTGAGAAGACTCGTGGGTTGAGATAAAGACAGTTTAACAGGTAAAGCAAAAGCGGCGCACGCAAGCGAAGCAAAACCAGGAATTCATTCGCTCCTTCCCATGGGCAGGCAGGTGTTCGGCCATCTCCAGGAAAGCGGGGCTCCCTCACGCCTAACGGTTACTGGGGAAGACAAACGCCATCGCTCCGAACGTCCCCCCCTCCTTCTTCTTCCCCCAGCTTTATATGCTGAGCGTGGCGTCATATGGTGTGGGAGATGCCTCGGGCCAGCTGGGGTCAGCTGTCCCGGCCGTGTCCCCTCCCAGCTTCTTGTGCCCCCCCAGCCCGCTCGCTGGTGGGGTGGTGCGAGAGGCAGAGAAGGCCTCGACTCTGTGTGAGCACTGCTCAGCAGTAACAAAAACATCCCTGTGTTATCAACGCTGTTTCCAGCACCAGTCCAAAACACAGCCCCATACTAGCTACTAGGAAGAAATTCAGCTCTCTCCCAGCCAAAACCAGCACACCTAACTGTATGGAAATGGAGATTGAGGGACAAGGATGTTTTCCAACACGTGTCTTGGTTTGAAATACTCCCTCCCCCCCATCAGGACCAAAACTGTAATTTGGACTCATAAATCCCACTGAGAATTAACCTTGGTGGTCACTGCCATTTGGGCATTTGAAAAGGTCTCTCTAAGTGCTCCCCCTTGGTTTCAGCAGAAACAGCCTCTCTCCGTCAGGGCCTTCCCCACAAATAATGCCAACAAAGCACACACCGCGATAGCAGCACAGAAGAGCTTTTACTTTTTTTTTTTGAAAGGAACACTTGCCTTGGCATGTCAAGCCTATCCTTAGAGAATGTCTTTTTCTCTAGTGACACTGAAGGTCCACATTCATCCCCTTCAAAACTCTAGTGTAGCAACTGAGGCAAAAAAAAGCTATTGCTTTAACTTCATTTTAGAGAAGTATTTTCTTGTTTGTTTCTAAATAGCATCTGCCAGCTCAGCTTCTCTATGGGAAGGAAATTGATCTATTCCTTTTACTCCGACTCGATCATACCCACTATTTACTATCTGACAAACTAGAGCTAAGAGAACAATTCACTGATGACTCTTCCGTGGGGTGGTTGGCTTAGAAATACCGGGAGCAGTAAAAACTTTGCATCAGTAAACAAAACAGATAGCAAGAGCACACAGAGGAGTTAAGCCTGCATAGTGCCACTGGTACGGCACTCAGACTTAGGCAAAACAAGTTCCTCCCTATGTCGGAGCCCCACTGCGGCACAGACATGTTTTCAGGAGCGTAACTGACCATGGGATTTCAATTTGAAGAGAATGAGTAGGAGGAAAAGCAAAACACTTGGTCTCAGCTGGGGAAAGCATATTTGTTCTTGAGATGTCCTTTTCTCTAGGACACAGATCACATGGCAGCCACGCTGCTTTCAAAGTGTATAATTGAACATGTAACGGTAACAACAGCAATGATAATTTACCTCTTTGCAGACAAAGAGCAACTACCGAAAATTTGTGTGCAATGCTTAGCAAAAAGGCTATATTACAGTCACTCCAGGCTGAATATTATGCGGGTACCAACCTTCAGATGGGGACCAGAACAGCAAAACCGACTGCATTTCTGCTTGCGCCAGCGAGGACTTGGACTGACAGCCAGTTTATGCTTGCCTAACGGCCACACTGAGTTCACTTTTACCTGGTGAGGAACATCCACATACCCCGCTTCACAGCCTTCACTAGTGAGATACCGTGCAACAGACACAGTACAGCCCGAGTGATGGGTACAAGTTTCTTCCATCTCTAGTATCTGACACAAACCTGGGGACAAGGGTTGCTCCTCATTAAAGCAGTTATTAACAAGCTCCATTCACAGTGCTGCGCTAGATTGCTGACCCTCTCACCTAACCCAGATTAACACCTTCCATTTATGGCTTTGTTAAACAACTGTTGAAATTTAATCAACTCCATGTGTTCACAGGATTGAAAAAGCCGGAGGTGGATGTGCGCGCCAGTTGGTTCTCTGAAAAAATCTTCAGCCAAAATCCAGCTCATGACTCTCTTGTTCTTGTAATATACAAAATTTCTCAGATAATTTTTCCCTTCACGAGGAAACTAGCATGCAACTTCCAGGCCAAGCCAGATTTTTTTATTTCTATGCTCCAGTTTAGACCAGAATATTTGGTTTTACAAGAGCAGCTTCTTCCTTTTTTTAAAAGGAATTAATAGCCCATTTCTTCATCCAGTAGCCATTTTGCTCTTTTGCAATTACACTTAAAATAACAATGAAAATTCTGCAGCAATATATTTTATGTATGGGTTTAAAACCAACATGACCAGAATGAGTAAAAACATCGGGTGATTAGGGCTTTGTGCTGTTTCTTCTTTGCTTCTGGTATCAGATTGCTTCTTATCTACTATAATTTTAAATACTACATACTTGCTTTACCCACTAAATTAGAATCTGGATTATTTGGCTGCTTACTTTAGATTTCCCAAAGGTACAGCCTTCACATTGCACTATATAACCCCCTACCTTCCAAATCCTGCTGTTTCCAATATTTACTAAAACACGAATGTTAACATAAATGCAATTAGATTTAAAAGGAGAAGAAAAAAGGAAATATTTCTAGGTTAGATGTTTACACCCCTTATACAACAAAAAACCCAAACCTTTTATGTATGTCAACGCCCACGAGTTGACTCTCCGAAGGAATGATTATACCTTTGTACGTAATTTCCATATGCAGAAAACATTTTATAAAATAATTTTTTTTAAAGACAAGAACTGAACTACAGTATATCTAGTATACCTGACTTTACAAAAGTTTTAAATATTATTTGCTAATTGCTGCCACAATCACACTCACTGGAAAACAAACTGCAAAGGACACCGACAAGACAAAAAAACCCCAACCTCAACCAACAGCTGCTGACTGGCTGAACAAGTCATTTAAGCCACACTACGTTTAGCACTCAGTAGCAGACCTCTCTGGACAGAACATAGATCAAACAGGACTCGACAATACATGGCAAAACACTTAAGCAGTTTCCCAAACCACAGTCAATGTATCAGCACTGGCATACAAGCCATTCCAACGTCTCTTAACAGACCCACCTGTAACTGTTATTCTTGCTGACAATACACAGCGAATGATTTTGGGAATCAGTCATCCAGACAACCTAGTCGTTAAGGTATCTGTATTAGCATCCTAAATTTCCTTTCTCAAGTCTAACAACTACCAACTCTAGAAAAACCGGGATGAAGTCAGGAACAATTCAGTGAGCCATCCCACTTGATGGAAATGGACATTCTGTAGTAAATACAGAGACCGCGTGCTCGCTATGTACGAGGCTGTGTGTTCTGTTCACATATTTGGAGCTCTGAACCACTCTTCAAGGAAATGCTGAGCACATTACTCATTGAGAGAGACATGGAAGGTGCTCAAATAGCTAGCAAGAGTATTGAAAATTTGAAGTACTTCATTTTTACAATACTTTCCACACAGCAATCTGTCTTGGCACTAGTCAGTTTTGTGGCCTCTTGTTCTACTAAGGGCAACGGGGCTAAGCCATCACACACTGAATATAGCATACAACACCCTTATTGATGGCAAGAATGAAGCAGCACACAGGAAAAGTAAACTTGAGCCTGTGTATTTGTGTCTGTCCCCGCACACGAGAAAACATTTTCTGAAATATCTCCATTCGGAGGCCGCTCCAAGATATTGCAAGCGTATTTATTTTTCCAGCTATAACATCATCACAGCACCCG